AAAAAAGACATTAAAAAAAATAATATAGAAAGGGCAACAGATGTCATAGGAACAACTTTTAAAATTCGGTGGTCAGTTTCTTTTTTTTTTTTTTTTCTCCGTGCTGGGGAGTGAACCCAGAGCTTTGCATGTGCCAGGCAAGTACTCTACCTCTGACCCACACCTCTGGCCTTTTATTTATTTATTTATTTGGTGCCCAGGATTGAAAGCAGGGGCAGTTAACCACTGATCTCCCACTTTTTATTTTTTATATTGAGATGTGGTCTCACTGGAGTGCTTCAGTGAACCTATTCAGTCTTTTTTTTTTTTTTTTTTTTGAGACAAGATTTTACTATGTTACCTAGGCTGGCCTCAAACTCCAGGGCTCAAGTGATCTGCCTTGTCCTTCCAAGTAGCTGGGACTAGAGATGCTGTACACCATGCCAAGTACAATGTTGGGTGTTTTTAATGGTCTTGTTCAAATTAGAAAGCATGGCTCTGTACCAGGAAGCCAGATGAAATGGAACGTTGATGTGCTTAAAGGCAACCCTGCGGCTGGGGATTCTGGTTGGAGGCCTCGGGTGAGGTGGGGGGGGGTATGCGTGGAGAAGCCTAGTTTCCCACTGTACTTTGGATGACAGATTTATGAGCCGATTGGATCAGTTATCTTGATACCCGTTTTGTTTTACCTTGGTCTAAGCTCATCTGGGCCTTTGTTTTCTTTTAATGTTTCTATTTAAACTTGGTTTCCATCTAAACATGATTAATATTTCTAAGATAAGTTTCACTGAACAGAATGGTTTGTGAGTCTTTTTAGGTTTCTCTTGAACACAGCAGCTCTTTATGTTCCAGCCATATGGAACTTTCTGGAGTCCCCCGAGCACTCAGCTGTTTCCTGCTTATCGACTTTTGTTCTGGCATGCCCCGTGTATTGATTTCTTCCTGCTTTCCATCCCCTGGATACCTTGTATATGTCTATAACAGCATCTGCAGTGCTTCTTGGCATTTTATTTATTTTTTTCAGTGCTGGGGATGGCAGTCCAGACCTCACCCAAGTGCTCTTCCACTGAGCCCAGCCTTTGGTGTTTGTTTAATGGAGAGAATTGGTGGACTGTAGTGAATGTGGAGATGGATTTGGGGGCATCCAGTGGCAACAGGCCTTGGGTGCCACAGTTCTCAGCCTTATGCCATTATTGAGTTCCCTGTTCAGTTCCATTTTGTGTCTCCTTCCCTACCGTCTGCCATGCTCACACCCACAGGGCAGGTGCCAGTCCCCACAACTGCTCTGCAGATCAGCAGCCTGAGGCTCCTTAAGTACTAGCCCTTTGGCTGGCCCTCAGGCCACACCTGAATTTTGGGTATGAAATCTTGTGAAATCCCAGCCCAGGGAGCCTCCCTCTTAATTCACTGTTGTTAAATATTCTCTGAAGAAATCAGGCCCTCTGAGGTGGCTCTGCAACCCACACACCTACCTTGATTTAGGTGGAGATGTGGAAAGCTTCTAGAACTTTGTCCTCTTCTGTTCTCCAATGCCGCCTTGTTTAACTCTGCACCTTAGGTGGAGCCTTAATAGTTTAACCCCCTTCCTGGTTCTGCTGGGACTTTTCTGAGCACTGAGGGGATAGTAGGGAACAACAGGGAACAAAACAGGCAGTCTTGCTCTCTTGGAGTCTGCATTCTAGATGGAGGAGATAAGCAGATACAAATGAGCGGAAAATGTGAATAAATACAAAATGTGTTCATTTTCTGTATATGTGTGCATTTTAAACTAGGAGTTTGCCTTGGGATGCAACTAGCAGTGATAGAGTTTGCAAGAAACTGCCTTGATTTGAAAGGTAAGTCTAATAAACATTTATTTAAAAAGTTATCACTTCAATGTTTTTAGCAATATTGGTAAATTACTGAACTCTTTTCTTAATTTTCAGATGCTAATTCCACAGAATTTGAACCAAATGCCCTAGTTCCCATGGTAAGTGACTTGTTTATCTTTCTGGAATATTCTCTGGGATATTTTACTTTATTTTTGTGGATGGATCCCAGGGCCTCACACCTGCTAGGCAAGCACTCTACCATTGAGCTACATTCCATTCTCAGCCTGTTGATCTTTCTGGGTCCAGTCATTGTCATTTCATTTCTGGCTCTTGCCTAAGCTCATAAGGGGCAATTATTATTTTTCCCTTACAATGCCAGTACATTTAAATTTTTATATGAATTTATTATTATCTATTATTTTTACATCAAACGGCTTTGTTCACAGTTGTCTATCTTGTCAGCTGTGCCTTGAAGAAAAGATACAGTCCTGGACTGATTTCTCTTTGTAGCAGCTTTCAAGCTTAATGTTTAGGAAAGGATTAAATTGGCTGTGACAACAATTTATAACAGTTAATATAAATAAATGAGCTGTCCTGTCTCTAGACTCATCCCCGGTCTGTCTATTTTCCACATTGGTGGCCATCTATCTTTCTAAAACAAAAGTGACAACCATTCTGCTGCTGGGCCTCATGTTCCGCCAATTCCTTTCCCCCTAAAATATTCAGTGCAGAATTGTTGGCTGGGCCCCAAAGGCTGTTGTGATCTGTCACATGCTGCTTTGTTCATTTGTCCCATAGCATCCCAATTCCTCCCATGCTTTGGGTTTGATGTTTGAACACATGTAGCCTGAGATGTTCCCCCATCTTTTGATCTCAATAAAACCAATGAAGAATTTAGCTAAAGCAACAATTTGGTTATTAGAAACTTTCTATTCATCCTGAGAAGCTTCTCCTGACCTCGTGTCTTTCCCTGCCTCTGCCTTCTTTGGCCACATTCACTGCTAATAAGGCAAGCTCTACATGATTGTGCTTAGGCTGAGTTTGCCTGGTCACCAGTTGCTTGTGCACACACAATTGTGTCCTGGCTGCTTAGCACCTACCTCTAATAAGAACATGTGACTCGCCAACCAGTTGTGATTGTGGTTTTTTTTTAAAAAAATTTTTTCTTAATTTGTTCTAATTAGTTATACATGATGATAGGATACATTTTGACATATTATACAAAAATGGAACATAACTTTCTCATTCTTTTGGTTGTGTGTGATGTAGAACTACACTGAATATGATTTTTTTAAAATATTTTTTTTTAGTTGTCAATGGATCTTTATTTCATTTATTTTTATGTGGTGCTGAGGATCAAACCCTGTGCCTCACACATGCTAGGCAAGTGTTCTACTGCACCACATACCCGGTCCATGATTGTTTTTTTTTAAACAATTTGAGATATCACATACTATGAAATTCAGCTCTTTGAAATATGCCATCCAATGTCTTTTTAAAAATTTTTAGTTTTAAGGGGACATAATATCTTTTATTTTTATGTGGTGCTGAGGATTAAACCCAGTGCCCCGTGTTCGCCAGGCGAGCGTGCTACTGCTTGAGCCACATCCCTAGCCCCAATGTCTTTTTTATTTTCTTTTATTTTTTGGTACTGGGAATTCAACCCAGGGGTGCTTAACCACTGAGCCACATTCCCAGTCCTTTTTATTTTTTTTTTTTAATTTTGAGCCAAAATCTTGCTATTTTGCTTAGGGCCTCATTAAGTTGCTGAAGCTGGCTGAGAGCTTGTGATCCTCCTGTCTCAACCTTCTCGGAGTCGCTGGGATTACAGGCATGCACTGTCTGCCCAGCTCCAGTGTCTGTCTTTTAGCATATTCACAGATCTGTGTCACTATCACAGCATCAATTTGGAACCATTTTCATTACATCAAAAAGAAATTCTCCTACCCCATAGTTGATATCCCCAAGCCTCCTGTCCTCCACCACTCCCCACCATGGGCAAACATTAATCTACTTCGTATGTTTATAGATTTGCCTATTCTAGTCCTTTTATATAAATGGAATAATAAAATGTGACCTTTCATGACTGGCTTCTTTCACTTAGCCTAATGCTTTCAATATTTGGCTATGTAGTAGCATGTATCAGCACTTCTTTTCTTTTTATGGGTAATGAATATTCCATTGTATGGACATATGCATTTTATTTTTCCATTCATCTGTTGATGGGCATTTGGGTTGCTATTGCAAATAATGCTGCTTGTGAACATTTATGTACAAGTTGTTGTGTGGATATATTTTCATGACACTTAGCAGTGGAATTGCTGGGTCATATGGCATCTCTATATTTAATCCTTTGAGGAGCTTCCAGAGTTCTCCAAAGAGGCTACAACATTTTACCTTCCCACCAGCAATGAGCAAGGGTCTCAATTTCTCCACATCCTTGGGAACACTTGTTACTATCTGACTTTTCGATCATAATCATCCCAGTTGATATGAAGTGGCATTTCTTTGTGCCTTTGATTTGCATTTCCCTGATGGCCAAGGATGTAGAGCATCTTTTCAGATACTAATTGGCCACTTGGAGGAATTCTTTGGATATTCATATCCTTGGCCCATTTTCAAATTGGGCTATTTTTTTTATTGCTGAGTTGTAAGTTGTTGTTTGTGTATTCTAGATACAAGTTCCTTATCAGATATATGATTTGTTCTGTGGACATTTTGGATCAGATCATTCTTTGTTGTATGTGAGACACTAGATGCCAGTAGGACCCTATCCCCCAACTCTGAAAATACCTTCAGTTTCCCGGGGGCAGGTGCAGAATTGCCCCTATTGAGAAGTGCTGACTTGGAGAAATCTACTTCTGTTCCTGTTCCCTCCTTTCCCTGATGATAACCACTTGTTCTTTTTTTTTTTTTTTGGTTTATTTTTCCATTTAAAAAATATGAGTAAGGGGGGCTGGGGTTGTGGCTCAGTGGTAGAGCACTTGCCTGGCACATATGAGGCATTGGGTTTGATCTTCAGCACCACATAAAAATAAAGATTGTGTCCACCTACAACTAATACACATACATACATATATAAGACCCATATGTCTCTCTGTGACCTCTCCCCTTCTTAGGTAAGTGATACAAACTCTCCATGTTTTTTTTTTTTTTTTTTCCTGCTTTGCTCTTTCCACAACATTATATGCTATAGATAATCCCATGGTAGGATACAGATTCTTCATGCCTTTTTTTTTTTTTGGTATTGGGGATTGACTCCAGGGGCACTTAACCACTGAGTCACATTCTGAGCCATTTTTATTTTGAGCCATGGTCTTGCTAAGTTGCTTAGGGCCTCACTAAGTTGCTGAGGCTGGCCTTGTACTTGCAGTCCTCCTGCCTCAGTCTCTCTGGTGGCTGGGATTATAGGCATGTGCCACCACACCCGGCTCTTCATGCCTTTTTATAGCTTTGAATCAAACCATAATGAACCATAGCTTCCTAGCCAGATGGTACTTTCAAATCTTATGCTCAGAAGTCCTAATACCAGCAAAGAGTTCCTTATGAGGTTTTAATATAAACTCATTTCCTGACTAATAGTTGAGATAGCTATACCAGGAAAATAATGGGTTTTCTTAAAGGCATACTTTGAGATAGGATGTGATTTTTACCAGTAGGTGCCACTGTTAGATAACTTTGGCATAGCTCATTCTTTGATGACTTTTCTTCTTTTTATGGTACTAGGAATTGAACCCAGGGGCACTTAACCACTAAGCTACATCCCCAGCCCGCCTCCCCCTTTTAAAAAATATTTTTAGTTGGCAATGGACCTTTATTTGATTTATTTATGTATTTTTATGTGGTGCTGAGAATTGAACCCAGTGCATCACATATGCTAGGCAAGCACTCTACCACTGAAGCACAACCCCGGCGCCCCCAGCCCTTTTTGTTTTTTGTTTTGAGACGGTGTCTTGCTAGATTGCTGAGGCCAGCCTTGATCTTGTGATTCTCTTACCCCAGCCTCCTGAATAGCTGGAATTATAGGTGTGTGCTACCACACTCGGCATTGATGACTATTCTTTATTCTCTGTGCGTGTGTGCATGTGCGTGTGTGCATGTGCACATGTGTGTACACTCATTAAATTTGTAAACTCAGGGTAAATAAAAAAGGTTAAGCCCTGGGGCTGGGATTGTGGCTCAGTGGTAGAGTGCTTGCCTAGTACCACATAAAAATAAATAAATAAAATAAAGGTATTGTGTTTAACTACAACTAAAAAAAATATATTTAAAATAGTTAAGCCCTGCTGTAAAAATATTTCTTATTTGCTCCCACGTCATCTCAGTTTCCTTCCCTAGAGGCAACTGCCTTTATCTATTTCTTTTTTTATTGGTTCAGAAGGGGTGTGTGTGTGTGTGTGTGTGTGTGTGTGTGTGTGTGTGTGTGTGTGTAGATGTATTTTTTTTTTTTCTTTTTGGCTGTGCTGGGAGTGGAACCCAGGGCTTTGTGCATACTGGGCAATTGCCCTACCACTGAGTGACACTCTTGATCCCTGTCCTCCCTTTTAAAAACTGACACATGCTAGTAAGCTGGAGACATTGTTCTCACCTTGCTTTTTGTACCAGTTGCCCCACATCAATGGATCTTTCCTTGCTTGCTCTTATTTAGCTGTATGTTCTATGGATACATCAGTTTTTATTTAATTCGTCTTGTATTCAGGTTGTGCCCTTTGCTTTGTTAATCTTAAATCATGCTGCCAATTAGTCTCCGTGTACATATGTCCCACCCACACGTGAACACATCTACAGGATGAATTCCTCGAAGGGGAATTGTTAAGTTGGAGGCTATGTGCATTTTACATTTCGATGGCTCCTATACACATAAGTGAGATGAGAACAATAAAACCTAATTGCTATTGAACATCTTTATAGCCTGCAATCAGTTTGCTGGAGAAAAATAGCCATAAGAGCCAGCGTTTGTACTAATGGTGAGAAGGTTATTAAAGAAAAAGACTAAGGTGGCAGAATCGCAAGGCAGCCAATGAATGAAGCCTAGGAAGCCACTTTACTTGAGCAAATCACAATAACCTAGTGGTCCATGGTCATTCTGCCATTCTAGCTAAAAAAGTAAGCAATTTGGAGGCTCTTGTAGGGTTTATTTGCTGCTAAAATCTGTTTTGTGGGCATCATGATCCTCCTTTGGCATGCATGATAAATGTTATGGTTGCTTATGGAATCACTGGAGACCCTGGCACCCAGAACAGATCTAAGAAGAGGTGACTCTTACACATAAAAGAAGGAACATAATGTTCTCTAAGGGTTAAGGTTGTCTCTGAATCTTAGAGTAAGTAAAATCTATTTTATAGTGTCATTTCTCTGCTTGATCCACAAGGTGTAATAGCAGGCTCTGGGTTATTAACAGTGCATTTAGGGTTCTATATCAACTCTGGTGTTTTGGATTGTTTCATAGTAGTCTCTGCCTTCTAGATGATGATTATGAAGAACATAGCTGACTTACATTATCTATGTCCATCCCATGTCAGCTGCTGACGTTGTTGACCTTGACTTTGGCTTAAGATCTCTTTTGTTCATCTGTAGGGTAGTGTATAACATTGTGGACTTGTGGCACTGAGGCACATACATAAGGAGTGATCTCAATCTAATGTTTAGACATGTGAGCTCCGTGAGGATAAGTAACTCTGAGGAGACGGGAAAAAAATAGACATGTGGATCTGCTTAACTGAAACCATTTCATTTTCATTTTCATTTGTTGAAAAAGATAACCAAAACCACAATAAATAAACAGAACAAAATAAACAAAGAAAACTCAAGCCAGATGCAGTTGCATAAACCTGTAATCCCAGTGACTCAGGAGGCTGAGGCAGGAGGATTACAAGTTTGAGGCCAGCCTGAGCAATTTAGCAAGTCCATAAGTATCTTAGTGAGACCTTAATCTCAAAACGAAAAATAAAAATTAAGGGGCTGGGGTTATGGCTCAGTTGTAGAGTGCTTGTCTAGTACATGTGAGGCACTGGGTTCAAACCTCAGCACCACATAAAATGAAGTAAAGAAATTGTGTCCACCTACAACTAAAAAATAAATATTAAAAAAATTAAAACAAAAAGGACTGGGTATGTAGCTTAGTAATAGTGTTCCTGGGTTCAATTCCCAGTGCTGCAACAGACAAACCCCCAAACAACAAAACTCCCCTGAATTTGCATAATACCCTGGAAACAGAATGTTCCAACTGCAAAACACAGCAACACACATGTGCACACCAGGATGGTAGTATTGGTAAGAAAAAGCAAGAAATTTGAAGTACTTTATTAAGATGCAGATAGATATTTGAGACTGTGATAGTTGATTTTGTTTCACTTTTGGTTATCATTAGTATGACTTAACTTTCAAAGTTAATTTAATTTTATATCTCATGGTTGATTTATGAAATAGTCGCTTATAATTAAAAGTTAATTCAGGTGAAGAGTAATTTATGTCATACATTAAGCATAATGAATGCATTACATTTTTTGCCTTTATTCAAAACCGTGCTTGAAATATTTTCCCTTCCTTAATTTTCAACAACTTTATGTGGTATGCAAATTGAGATGTTTTTAAAAAAACCAGACAGCCCATTTAGAGTTACCTTTTAGGCGACTTTTATTACTTTGGGAACTAATTTGCCTTGTGAACATTAAAATATTTCTCAACTGACAAAAGATCTTATAGAAGTTATTTTGAAGTGAGCTGGGCTAAACCCCTTCCCTATAAAAGCAGTTATTAAGAATTCAGCTCTAATGTGGTGAAATAGCTTTTTATGGACCTGTCCTGCAACCTAATAGTTGTTTGATCCTGTCTCTAAAGAGATGTTAGGTTCTGAGTTGATAGCAGACTGAGATAGCGACCTTCTACCTGGACAAAGAAAAATTCTCAAAGGGAAACCTTGCACACTGTTGATGGAAATGTAAGTTGGTACAGCCATTATAGGAAAGAGTGTAGAGATTCCTCAAAACACTGAAAATAGCTGGGTGTGGTAGTCCACGCCTGTAATCCCAGCCATTTGGGAGGCAGAGGCAGGACTAAGACAAGTTTAAGGCGCGCACACGCGCGCACACACACACACTAAAATAAAATGGAACTAAAACTGAAAACTACCATATGATCTAGCAATCCTCTTTCTGGGTATGTATCCAAAAGATGTGAGCTTAGTATGTTCAAGAGATGTCTGTACTTCCATGTTCATTGCAGCATCAATCAGAAGAGCCAAGATGTAGAATTGACCTAAGCGTCCCTCAATGGATAAAGAAAATGTGGTATATATACACAACGGAATTTCATTAAGCCTTTAAAAAGAAGGAAATCCTGCCATTTTTAACAATGTATATGGACCTGGAGGACATTATGTTAAGTGAAATACCCCAGACACAGAGACGAACACTGCATGATCTCATTTATATGTGGAACATAAAAAAAAAAATGGAACCCATAAAAACAAAGAGTGGAAGGGCAGTTACCAGGGCCTGAGGGTGGGAGAAATAGGGAGATGTTGGTCAAAGGGTACAAACTTGCAGTTATTAGATGAATCATTCTGGAGACCTAATGCACAGGCCTAGTGACTGTTAATAGATCTCAAGTGTTCTTGCCACACATGCACACACACATATAAATGATCACTATGTGAGATAATGGATATTAGCTTGATTTTAGTAATCTTTTCACAATGTATGCATATATGAAAACTCATATTGTATATTTTGAATATATATAATTTTTGTCAATCATTTCCTAAAAGAGCTTTTTTTTTTTTTTTTTAAAAGAAATCTCCTTTCCAGGGTGAGGGCCTTTGCCTAATGACTCGGGGCATCTTTTCCTGGCCTTCATCCCTGTGTCTTCTCTTGGAAAGGAGACAGTGTAGCTTGGAGTGAGCACCCATTAGTGAATCACAAGGGTAATCCATTATGTTAACAAAAAAATGAGTGACAAAATGAGTACTTCAAATCTAAAGTAGTTTAAAGCTTTTGTACCTTGAGTTCAATAGGAAATGCCTTAGAAATAAGTATTTCAACCTCTTTAAAGACTTTTTTTTTTTTGGCAGTAGGAATGATTGAATGTTAGTGGAAAGGGATTACTTAAAAAAAAAAAATCACTGTGTTTGGAGCTTATCCACTTCATTGAAGTCCCAAATACAGTGTATTACAAATCAACTGAGTTCATGATTTCTCTTGCAGTCTAGCTGAGGATTCAAGCCAGACTGGAGAAACAAATAACCAAATACATGGGTAGTATATGAGGGTGCCCTCATTAATGTTAATGATATTGTCCACTAGAACTCTCTGCCATGATGGAATGTTCTATATCTGTGTCATCTAATATGGTAGCCACTAGCCACATAGAAAGCACTTGATATGTAGCTAGTTTGGCTGAGGAATTGAATTTTAAATTTAATTTTCATTAATTTATACATCAAGAACCATATGTGTCTAGTGGCCACAGTATTGGACAGTACAGGTAGGTCATGCTTTCTACTTTGTCAGCCAGAGTGTGACCATTTATGTCACTCTCAAGAATTCAGAGTCAAGAAAAAATACTGGGGGTTGGAGTAAGAAGGGAAGATTATTGAAGGCTTGGGGACTTTATTTTTTTAAAATATATTTTTAGTTGTAGACACACAATACCTTTATTTTATTTATTTTTATGTGATGCTGAGGATCGAACCCAGTGCCTCACATGTGGAAGGCAAGTGCTCTACCACTGAGCCATAACCCCAGCCCAGGCTTGGGGACTTTATTAAAAGGAGAGGAGGCATGTGCTAGGCTGGGATATCCAAGATCTGGTCATGAAACCGTGCATAGCTTGGCAGAAGCACATAGCTCCTGTAGGGAGTATAAAGAATTCAAGGAGATTGGTGCTGATCTGTGAAAGTCCAGGAGTATCTGTGAAAATTAACTTGAAGCCAAAAAGGAGCTAATAGGATAATTCCTGTCATCTAGGACATCTTATACAGATACCATGCTCATTCTGGGCTTTTCTATAGAATGGATAGTTTAGGAAGATTCTCCTGGCATGGGAGCTTGAGGAGAGGAGAGAAAAGACTACAGGCAGGGCACATGGGTGAGGATTCTGGGAGCTTCCATCTTCAAGTTAAGGAGCTGGGCCAGAGCAGGAGTCACAGTAACTGCTGATCTGACTGGGAAAGTGGAACGAGTCAACAAGATTTAGTGACTAGATAGTCAAGAATCAACCACCAAATATCTATTGAGCCCTTCTACATACCAGGTCCCAGTCTAGACTTGAGGATACATCAGTGAAAGAGAAGATCAAACCCTTGCCCTGGTAGAACTAGTGAGGAGTGGAGGTAGGGGGCTGTTAAAATGCTGGACTGTTGATCTGAGGGGAAATGTAGTTGAACTCTGGTGATGTGGGAGATCAGATCAATGTTGTGGAATCGAGGCCAAGAAGGCTAACAACATATGCATACACGCCACTCCACTCATTTCCACCTTTTCTTTTTGGTACTGGAGATTGAACCCAGGGGCACTTTACCACTGAGCTATAGCTCCAGCCCTTTTTTAAGTTTGAGATGGGGTCTTACTAATTTGCTGATGCTGGCCTGGAACTTGCAATTCTCCTGCCTTGGCCTCCCAAATTGCTGAAATTACAGGCATGTGCCACTGTGCCCAGCTTCATTTTTACCCTTTATGAAGGTTAAACCTCAAACAATAATTTGTCCATGCCAGCCAATCGGAAGTGTCTCTCCTGTCTGTTTGCTATATCTTGTCCCTGTTCTTGCCCTGCTTGCTGTGGAGGCCCCTTGCATGGCCCTGGTTTTCACTGTGTGTCCTCCACACCCTTGTAGGCTCTTAGATGGCACCTACCTCATCTTAAAGCACATTCACGCCATTCTGTGACTCCTACACCTTCTGATCCCTTTCTGGCCTTGGGCTGGCTCTTCAGCATGACAGCCAAGGACTTTGATGGTCTGAAGCCAGTGTGTCCTCCATTCCTCACACCTGGATTTCCATCCAAGACACAGTGTGTATGTACATGGACACAATGTGCTTATTTGGGGTGTTTTCTTTTGAATAGCCACTGCTGCCTCTTTCTTCCCTGTGTACTCCCCTTCTGGTGCTTCTTACAAATCCCAGATGAAATGCTACTCAGAAGGGGCTAAATGATATCTTTACCCTAGGCTAAAATGGGAAGCTAGAGTGCCCTAGATACTACACCTAATGAAGCACAGGCAGCAAATAATAAGCATTCAGACTATTGACTAATGTTGGTTAGGAATGAAGCTGTAAAATCTTAAAATATTAGAGTGGCTAATTTAACAGCATTAGAGAATAATCAATCATGACTGGATACTGTGTTATTGTGGGAATTGAATCAATTAACACATATTGACTGAACAAAAGAGAGAGACCCCATAGATGCTCCAAAGACAGTTTATAATATCCACACCCTGGTGATCTCAGTCTCATAACAAATAAGAAGACATTGGTACTTTTTTATTTTTATTTTTTGGTACTGGAGATTGAATCCAGGGGTGCTTAACCACTGAGCCACATCCCCAGTGGTTTTTTTTTTTTCCTTTTGAGACAGGGTCTCCTTAAGTTCTTAGGGCCTCACTGAGTTGCTGAGCTGGTGTTGAATTTGCCGTCCTTCTGCCTTTCCCTCCTGAACCACTGGGAATATAGGTGTGCATCATGAGTCACACCTGGCTAGACTGGTACTTCTTTTTATTTTTTTTCAGGGTTGAGTCCAAAGACCAAATTCCGAGCCTTATGCTCTGCGACTGAGCTAAATCCCAAATGCCTGATCATTCTTTTTTTTTTTTTTTTGGTACTGAGGATTGAACCCAGGGGTGCTCAACCACTGAGCCACATCCTCAGCCCTGTTTTTTTTTTTTTTTTTTGTATTTTATTTAGAGATAGGGTCTCACTGAATTGCTAAACGCCTCACTAAGTTGCTGAGGCTGGTTTTGAACTTGTGATCCTCCAGCCTCAGCCTCCTGAGCCGCTGGACCTGATAATTCTTAAACAAGGGAATGAGTATTTCCCCCTTCCCCCCTTTTTTTTCTTAAAATTTCTGCACAGGAGATTGAACTCGGGTCTTTGCACCTATAAGACAAGTGCTCTACCACTGAGCTACATCCACAGCCCTTTTAAAATTATATTTTGAGACAGGGTCTCATTAAGTTTGCCCAGGCTGGACTTAAACTTGGATGGGGATGGGAGCCTGGATTTTTGCTCTACTGGCTGCCTTTGAGGGTCTTTAAGCTACTGGGTGTGTGTGTGTGTGTGTGTGTGTGTGTGTGTGTAAATGACAGCAGCCACCTTGACTGACACACCCAGTATACACTTAAGTTCATTAGGTTAAAAAGAAAACCCCTGGAGTCTCAGTTTAGGGTAGGATAATACAGCGATCTTTTGAAGGGCTTATACAGTTGAAAAACATTCATTATTACTATTTTCTACATTTTGAAGGGGAAATGGTTCCATAGCTTTCTGATGTGTTCTACAGAAAGTAAAGCTTGGCAATTTTGGCTCCCAGCATGAGTTAAAAATAAAAAAAGATTGAAAAACATTGTTCAGAATGTTGTTTTCTAGAACCAAGATGTTAGGCCGGTAGACCTGAGGCCACCCCTCAGTTAGGAGCAGAGCGACTGACTCTTGGTCCTGTGTTCCTTCTGTTCCCTCGAGGGTCATTCCTTCAAAAGGCACAGTGAGTGCTGGGAGATGACTTAAAGACAAGTGTCTGCTTTTGAATTTTGTTCCTCACTGGTTATTGAATAACATGAAATAAGGGTTGAAATTGGAAATGACGCCAGGACTGAGTAGTTGGGGGGAGAAAACAAGGAACTGAGTTGTTATTCTGGAAAAGTGGAGTGAGGGCCTTGCTTTGACACTCCAGGATTCTTTTCAAGTCCCTGACACCATCTTTGTGGTCTTGGGTACACTCACATAGTTATTTGGAGTCTCTCTTTTTTTGTGTGTGGTGTTGGACTTTGCATATGCTAAGCAAATGCTCTACCACTAGCCCCATCTCCAGCCCCATTTTGAAAAATCTTAAAATCAGATGAGTCAGGAATTTATAGTAATTTTAAATATACTCAGTGAAGAGAGTCAGTACACAACGAGGGGAGAGATGTCTAAGAATTTCTTTATTGACAATAAGTGGATCTCATAGCCAGATCATTATAATTGTGAAGAATTCAACTGGAAATCAGGATTCCATGTGAGTTAGAACCAGGTGCTCTCAGTTCGGGGCTCAGGATGCTGTTTTGTTTGCTCCTTCATTGGGATATCTTTTTTACTAACACTTGGAATTCTTCAAAACTAACTTCTCCATCTCCATTCTTGTCCAGTTCTTTAAAGAGGTCGTCGATAGTGCTTGAACCCTGGTTTTAGACAAAAAGGATGACATGTTGGGGGGAGATGAATCAGATAGTGCTACACATTCTCTGAAATTAGAGAGACTGAGTGTTCTTTTCAAGAAGGCTGCCTGAGTTTCCAGTCATGTGCTCCTGATGGTTAGGTGTGGAAAAACCAGCTTTAGGTTGGTCCATGTCACAGTACCTTTCTTTTTTTTAACTGTATCACATTTAATATTTAATAGAATAATGTGTATTTTATGTACTTTAAAAAATATGATCTTAGGACTTTTTCTTTGTGCCTCTAAAATATTCCTCAGAGAAGGGGTCCAGACTATCCCTGACCCACAAACATTTGAAGATCTCTGCTTCAAGCTTTTCCTGGGAGCTGGTTTTGTCTCTGGCTCCAGGCCTGTGGCTGCCATATAACCAGAGGCAGCAGACAGTGAGGACCAGCTGGCCCATATGGCTGTGGGTCAAGTGAGGCCTTTATAGCCTGTGTTATCCTCTCAGCCACTCTATAGGGGAGACCTACTTTATAGGTGAGGAACCTGAGGTCCAGAGACAGCTGATAACTTGCTCCAGAATGCACAGTAGTTAGCAGAGGGCTTGGGCTTCAGACATTGACCCCAGAGCCCAACACTGTAAGGAGCCACCACCTGAGATTTTCCCAAACCCTGGGCAGCAGCACACCTCTGGATTATCCAAGATGACTTTGGGTCACCAGTTTTCATGCTTTAGCATGCATTAGAGTCACCTGATGGGCTTCCTGACCTTAGTAGGCACAGATGGCTAGCTTCATGGGGGACAGAGTTTATCATTCACTAGTCCTGTGGAGGGCCTGACATCTGTATTTTCAACAGGTCCCTAGGTGGGGCTGATGCTGCTGGTCCAGGACCAGGCTTGAGATGCCCCATGAGCTTATGTTCAGGCTTTGTAACTACTGGTATTCCTGTATCCTAAGCAGCCTTATTTTTTTTGTGTGTCTGCCATAAAGCTCAAATCTTAAAACCATCACTGCTTGGAATTTTAGGTAAGAGTCTATCTGTGGCCAAATAATACTTAGAAAGCCTATTGAAATAACTGTTAAGTTTGTGTCAACTTCAAATTACATTGGCTGTCTCTCTATATCTATAGGTATGTATACACAAAATAGTGGTTAAAATAAACAACATTTAATTTACTTTATTAACTATTTTTAAATGGACAGGTCAGTAGTGCTGAGTTTATTTACTTTGCTATACAACAGATCTCTCCAGGCAGGGTATATTTTAATCCTTAAGAGTCCTACAAAGACACTTGACTCTTTGGGGAATCACAAGGCCAAACTCTTAAGTTATTCAAGATCTGCTTTATAAATGCAAAGCATTTACTAAATTCCAAACCATATAAGTTGATAATAATACAAAGTATAGCTGGAAAAACCTTAGTAAATATAATCGGGTACATGTAAGCAGACTCTCAAAACTTACTATTAATCTTCCTACCTTTTTCTAAATTATAATAGTCTTATATACTTTTTGTAGGAAATACATAAAATAAAGAGAAATTCACTAGTCTTTTTTTCCTTTGTGCTACTGGGTATCAAACTTCGGAACATTCTACCATTGAGCCACATCCCTAACCCTTTTGAGTTTTTATTTTGAGACAGGTTCTTGCTAAGTTTTTATTTTGAGACAGGTTCTTGCTAAGTTTTTATTTTGAGACAGGTTCTTGCTAAGTTGGCCTTGATCTTGTGATCCTCCTGCCTCAGCTGCTAGAGTAGCTGGTATTATAGACAAGGGCCACCATGCCTGGTGAGTCTTACCTTTTAAAATGACTCGTTTAGTTGCCTGGGTTTTCCTGTTAGATTGTTATTTTTCTTTTTGTTCTTTTAATTAAGAATCATTTTTTATTGCTAGTGCTTTTAACTGTTTTTAAAGGTTATTTTAGGGCTGAGTATGTAGCTCAATGGCAGAGCACTTGCTTAGTGTGCACAAGACCATGGGTTTGATGCCTATCATCACACCAAAAAAGTTATTTTTAGGAGTTGGGGGTGTGGCTCAAGATTAGAGTCCCTGCTTAGCATGCACCAGGCCCTGGGTTCAATTTCCAGCAACACACATGCATGAGCTTGCGTGCGCACATGCGTACACACACACACACACGTTACTTTATATTGCAACTCTAAGAAAATGAGGAAACATCAGATTATAAGGTTGTTGAATTCAGCAGGTTTTTTTTTCTTTTTAGTATTACAAACAGAAATCTTTCCAAATGCCATAGTGGCAGAAGGGAACATTTCTGGTTAAAACCTAGAAAGCAAGGGTACTTGAAACAAATGCTTTCTTCTGAATTGGCTGTAACTGCTGCACAGTCATGTTTAGTTGCAAAGTGACAAAGACAAAAACTATGTCCCTAACCAAATCTTAGCCTTCCTTGAGTCTTCTGCTTGACTGGGCCTGGTGTTGAGCTTTCCTCTCTGGGAATCCAGTTTGAGCAAGAAACCTGCTAAGTCAATTTGGGGAAAATCCTTAGCCCTTGGGATCTGATTGCCCTGGTTATCTTTTTAACTTGGCCTGCCTTTAGCAAAAATCCTGTCGGGTCACTTTATTCTTGTTGTTTCACTAGTATTTTCCACCAGCTGATTCCACCCTGCAAACCTTGGTTATAAACCCTCATCTGTC